AACTGAAAATATCTATTTTTACCGATAAATTTTGTTATTTCGAAAAAGAAAAATTGTTAAACCCGAATCATTGTCTCAAATAAAATAATTGATACCACTTCTCCTTACATTAGAATTGCATAGATGGGGATTAGAAATAAATATATTAGGTTACATTATAATTGCATAGGTGGGGAATGGAAATAAAATTTTTTGGTTTTGATATTTGGATGTATTGGTTTAAGTGAGTTAATTTTAAATAAAATTGATTGAGTGGAGATTTGAGTGAGATTTTTGTCTTTATTAAAATAATATTTAAAATATAATAATTAATGTTGATATCATATAAAAATAGAAGAGATGTTATTAAAAATGATAGATTGTTAAAAACATGTGACTGATGTTTTACCAACGGAATAATCTGTTGGTAATTAAGTTTCCAAATAGAATGTCAATAGATTATCAATGGATTTTCTTGTTGCTAATTATTGCCAATAGAAAATGCAATTTGTAGCTTACACCAACGAATTTGCAACCGAAAATATTGTCAACAGATTCTCAATAGATAATATAGTTGCTAAATAATTCCGTTCACAAATTAGTAACAGAAAAATATTGTCAAAAGATTCTCAACAGACAATATAGTTGATAAATAATTCCGTTCGCAAATTAGTAACAGAAAGGACAACAGTTTAGTTACGGATTTATCAACGAATTACCAACGGATGATTAGCAATGGACAATTTGGATTTTTTTTTCAACGGATTACCAACAGATGTTTTAGCAATGGATTACCACCAAATTTTTCCAACGGATTGCCAAGGAACATTTTAGCAACAAATTTAACAGATTTTTACCAAGGGAATACCAACGTTTATTTTAATAATTAACTTCCGAACTTAATTTGGGTCCATCCTTGGGATTGATATTCCGAGCGCATCAAATCTATAATATTATATTATATTAACTGAGTAATCTTTTTATTACAAGTTATTTATTATAAAATTAATATAATCTCTTTTTTTTGCATCTCACTAAACGCTTGTTTTTTGTCATGATTCATTAAAATTATAAAAACTACATTATTCAATATGTTTTAAACAATTATTATAGTGATTCAAATTCTGTTTGTATATTTTATTTTTACTAATAATCAAAATTTTAAAATCTAATATAAATCTAACTTGTAATTTAATATTATATGCAAACTTATAACATCTATACTTATATTAAAGGGGGTACTATTTACTAAATTAAGTAGCCAGAAAAGTCAACAGCATTTATTGCATTACTATTTTCGTATTATACTATATAAAAGGATATTCTATTTACTACATTTACTATCCAGAAAAGTCGACTGCATTAAATGTCATTACTATTTTGGTATTATAATATTTTATTTATTTAATTGATTTATTTATTTGTTTTATTTTAAAAAGGTAAGTATAATAAAAAGATTGTAATAATAAAAAAATCAAATACCAAATAAAAATGTACACTTTGACTTATTTGATTATATTTGGTATTTGATTATACCAAATATATTTCTATTTAGTATATAAATTAAATTCTTACTAAAGTATTTATTTGTTTTATTTGTCAAAATTAAGTATAGATTTGTTTATATTATCAAATCATAAAAAAATATTAAATCCATATTGTAAAAAAAAAATCATATAATTTTATAACAATTCTACTACACTATTTAACAATATTCCTTTTTTATTATATAATAAAATAATAATTAAATATTATATGGTGAACAACAATAAGTAAAATTGTTACTTTCTCTTATATCAAGGGATAAATTTATATGCTAAAATTAAATGATGTAGAAAAAAAAACTTATAATATCTCTATTGTTTTTTAGACTTAAATGTTGATTAAAAGAGGTAAAAATTCCTAATTTTTTAGACTTAAATGTTGATTAACACCATAGATTGAGAGTTTATATTTAGTAAAATTCCTAATTGTAATAAAAAAAAATAAATTTTGCTATATTTTAGAATATCTTTAAATTCATTATAAAAAAAAAAAGAAAAAAAAACTACAATGAAAAAAGCAAGTGAGCTATATATCGATTTGTTGTACTCCTCAAATCACATTCACAGTTTGGCTACAAGCAAAGGAAACTTATTGATTAAAATATTATTTTGTCAGTAGTCTTAATGTACAAGAGACTTTAAGACTCCATTTTATTCTTATAAAACTTAAAGACTCCATTTTATTCTTATAAAACTTTTATTGAACGTACAATTTATTGCGTATTATAAACTTTTATTAAATATTGCATCTTATAATATAATATTCTTCAAATAAATATATCCCGTGCTTCGCACGGGTCACGTACTATATATATCCCGTATATTTTTCTTTATTCATGTATATAATTGTAAGCCTGGATAAATAGCCTTAAAATTATGCACTCCGCGTCTGTACTAGTTTTACTTATATGCTATCGAGTTATAATAATTGTTAATTTCTAGATTACCTTGGAAGATATGAGAATGACATCATTACTATGTAATCCAGATTGGTCACCATTTTCGCTTCCAGATACATAGGCGTGACATTATGACCTGCGACTAATAGATTTTTTCTTTTCTTTTTTTTAATCATTGAGCACTTTGGTGGAATCGTAATTAAGAAAACTTGAAAATAATAAATAGGTCGCGCATACAGAAATAATTGGATTAAGTTTCTATCATATATATATCAAATCTGAAGGTTCTAAGAGATAAATATAAAATACTCGACATTTTTTCAAATGTTTTTTTGTGATTATTTAAGTTTTATTTGCGATAAGGTAATACACGAGGACTTTTCGCTCGCCTTTTGACAAAATTACAAATGCAATCCCTTGGCTGGAAAGAGTCGTCTTTTTCTCCTTTTTCTTATTCTCATTTTTTATTCTTATTTTGTTTGCATTCTTATCAAGCTAAGGTTAAAAAAAATAATGAACATGTGCATTGTACTTTTAAAAATATTAAAACTAAAATTATGATATTTTATAGCATAATCATACATTTTTGTTATAAAAAAATTGAATGCTCGACTATGAGTTAATAATTAGGCCGGTTTGCACATTTGTTTTCTTAAGTATACACTTGTCATTTTCCCCTATTTATCCTTATTATCTCCAAAGTAATAAAAAAAAAAAGGGAATATTTTAAGCAGTAAATTCCAGTTGCATCATTCAGACAAAGACTCGTTGAATTGACCACCATGAAGATGATGGCCAAAGAGGGGAAAAAAGTTTTAGTTGATGGGATGCACAAGCATTATTATTGAGTAATGTGGGGGCCTTTGTGTAAATAATTTAGCAAAAAGAAAAATGCCGAGAAACTATTTGTATTTGTAGTCGTACCCTTTGCCCTCCAACAACCCGACTGGTCTAAATTCAGAGGGGCCAGATATGATATTTATAGATCTTGCCTATTTCAACCTCTTGAAAATCAAGGGCGATTGGATATAATAAATTATATCTCATTTGATCTCGTTGAATAAATTTTTTCTACTAAATATGCAACTGCTTATAAAATTTTCAGAAGAATTTACTTATGAAAGATATAATATTTTGGCATGAGTTCAAAAAGGAAGTTCCTGCATGCATAAATAAGGGAAGTTCTTGTTTCCTAAATTAGTTTATATTTTGTTAAAGGAATATTTGGACTTATTGTGTATTTTCACTTTGTAGGAAATCGGTGCACATGAATAGGAGTCACACGCAAGTAGAAAATCACGAGAGATAAGGAAGAGATTGGATAACTAAGGCAAGTGAATATTTGGAGAGAGAAGAAGAGTCTTTTACTTAGTAGGACTTCTTGGATATACCAAAGAGAGACCAAGGACCGTGGGAATCTAGGAAATCATATATAAACCGATATTGAAGATTGAAGGACGGCTGCTGAAACGAGGGCTATTATTCATCACCTTCAAGCTTCAAGTATCTTGCTTACATTTTTATTTCCTTTGTGTACAGTTCTCGGATTACTTGATCATCGAGGAACTGAAACCATTTCAGTTGTATTGATTTCGTTTATTCTGTTTTGAACACCTTAATCATTTACACTTAGGGAGTAAGTGTGTAAAATAAGTCCATGGGACGTGGCCGGAGAAGTAATTGATAGGCTAGATCATAGTTGTGGTTAGAATAGAAGGGAGTTCTATTTTGTAAATCAAAACTATGTGTTTGTTAGTTAGAGCTCTGAGGGGAAGTGAGATGCTTCCCTGAAGAGTTTTTATATCTTTGGTTATTGCTTCCGCAAACTTTAGTTTTTATACTTGTTCGTACATTGTTGAGCGCACTCCCGATACATTTATACGTTCCAACTTATATATTCAATTTTTTTTCTATCAATCATATCAATACATATTTTTCAATAAAATTTATTATTTATTCAGTTACATATTTTCAACTATTGATAATTTAAATATATGATTTTACGCTTTTTGTATTTTATCAAATTTAATCGGGTACGCTTGGTTAAATTAGACGTAAAGCTAAATATAAATAATAATAACCAGTTAATTGATACCTCATACTTGAATTTCAAGCTTAGGTGTTTATGGTTAGTGGCCGAAATTTGGGTGATAGAATAAAAGTTAATTATAAAATTAGTTGATAAGTTAATTGGAAAATAACTTTAAAATATTTTTTTAAAAATCCATGTAAAGAAGCTTACAAGAGAAACTCCATCAAAAAAAAGAAAAATTCATCCTAGATAACTAAACTTATTTAAACATAAGAAATCATAAGCAAATTAAATAAATTAATTAGAAACTATGTTATGGGGCTTACCAAAACGCTTTAAATTATACACTTTTTTCTGCAATTTTATACTGCATTTTTTTTTTGTCCATTTATATTTAAAAAGAGACATAGCTGGATTTAACATTTAGTAATATTGTTTTATTGACACATTTATACAAATCANAAAATTCTAGTTGATATATATCCTAAATGCCTTACTTACATGAGTGTTATTTTCTCATATTTAATATGAATTCAATTGATAATTATGGAACGTGATTTATTTCGTTTGCAACGGCAAATTTTACATCGGCTACTGGTTATAGTTTCTAAAAAAACATTATTTTTAAAATAAATTAATTAGCATACTAAACACTTTTATAAAATAATGTGTCTTACATGAAGAATTTTCTTTTTATTCACATCGGTTTTTTTCACAATATATGTAATTTGATACTGAGTGGAAATATCAAGGAAATGCGTGGGCCCTGCATGAAATTGGCTGGCTGGACCTCATATACTTGCCAGAGTCTTTCAAACCCAAAAGTACTATTGAACGTTTGGCCCAATTACCACGAAAACAAGGGTATTATTATAGATTTTCACCCGAAAAACAAACTCTAATTGAAATTTTTTTCCAAATTTGTACTATGGTCTCACACTTCTCAAAACAACACTAGCAACCAACTATTATTTTATTTATATCTTCAAAAATTCGAAAAAAACACGCAAAATGCCCGCCAAATCCGACTTTACTATTCGTATAAACTTACCGGGCCACTAAAGTTTTCGAGAGCTTAGCAGGCCGTGCACGGCCTTTGGGCCCACCACAGCCCATTATCCTCTCACCCTTAATATACGCCTCGACCTCTTCACTAACCATCTCCCGAACCCGGCTCATTTCGGGCCGGGCCTTCGGCTGCTTCACCATGCACCGGCTGGCCACGATCGAGAGCCGAAGGGCCGACTCAAGGGCTCGTTCCCTATCGAGCCTTGGGTCCAATATCTTGCGAAATTTTGTTGGGCTCTTGAGGTTGGGCTTGATCCAAACGAGGAGCTTTTGCTCGGGCTTGGGCCTGTTGCGCTCGAGGGGCCGCCTGCCGGTGATGAGCTCAAAGAGGAATACACCGTAGCTATAGACGTCGCTTTTTGACGTGAGGTGGCCCGTTCGCACGTACTCGGGGGCAGCGTACCCCATGGTCCCCGCCACCTGTGTTTCGTGCATGGGCCCGAATAAAATTTATGATTCTAACAAATTAATGGAAATGCGCGATTGGCTAAGAGAAATTAAATTATTTGGTTTTAATTGATCGGATTATTTTTTTACGCTGCTTAACTCAGAATCAAACTCAGATTTAATTCAACTCAACTCTTATCAATATAATCAAATAATATCACGTATTTTGAATTACTTATCATTTTCAATAACGCATCTCCTATTTTTACATTTCATCAACTTTAATTATTATATTTTAAATATTATATAAATACAAACTCAGGATCTCACTCAATCCTCCCTTCAGTCAACTTTATTCAAAATTAACTCACTTTAACTAATAAATCCAATCAAAACCGATTTTATTTATATCCAATCTTGCCCTAAATTGGTCTTGGTAATGTATTAATTTACTTGCATTTTGATGATGTAACGTTGCCGATTCGAATATATATAGAAATTATCAAGATTGGATTTTTTATAGGAAATTACCTGAATTTTGATGTTTCGTTGCCAATTTGAATTATATAAATAGAAGTGATCAAGATAGGATTTTTTTTATAGGATTCGCAAGGGGAGAAGAGAAAATGATAGTGAATGGCTCTATTTTAGTAGTTGTGCATTGTGATAAAGAACGAACAAGTCGTTTTTCCTAATTTTCTATATTTTGAGGATTTAAATGTGGAATGTATGAATGTGAATTAAGTCCAGTAAAAACGGCATGCTCGAGCATATATACCTCGGTCGACACATGCGTCATTCCTTCCGAAGGGCCCAATCGAGCCAACCCAAAGTCCGACAGCTTGGCATTCCAATGCTCGTCTAGGAGAATATTCGAAGATTTGAAATCCCTAAAGATAATCTGTTCATTGAAAGAAAAAAGTTACAAAATTTACAACAATCCCTTAATTCATAATACAAAAATAAATAAATAAATAAACAAACTACCTGAAAACCCATTTCCTCGTGAAGGTACGTGAGCCCACAAGCAGTATCTAAGGCGATCCTCAGCCTCGTTTGCCAAGAAAGAGCGAAAATCGAATTAGACGATAAATGGTCCGCCACACTTCCATTCGGCATGTGTTCGTAAACGAGCAGACGTTGGATTCCTCTTTCATCGTCCTCTGCACAGTAGCCAATAAGCTTCACGAGGTTCGGGTGGTCCACGCCACACACAACATTTACCTCAGTCATCCATTCTTTGTGGCCCTGCAAATAATCACTTACAAAAAAAATCAGAAAAAAAAAAACAAGACTTCATTTTTACTTTTTATTTTACAAAAAAATATACCTGCAGACCCTTTTTACCCAGTTGTTTAATAGCCACATTGATTTTCTTGGCTGGATCGTGTGAGCTACCGATAATGCCCTTGAAAACGCACCCGAACCCACCTTCACCGAGTTTGGCAGACATGCTGAAGTTTCTAGTTGCTTGTTTTAATTCGGATAAAGTAAAGACCTTTAGATTATTGGGCCTGCTCGATAAATTCGGGCTCGGGCTATTTCCTATGGGCCCGGCTCTCGGGTCTGATCTGTTTCGGGAGATGAATGTGAGTACGGAAGGCCTCATTTTACAAAGGGAAAATAGGGAGCACGATGAGTTTGTCTTCTGAGTGTCGTTCGTTTCATTTTTCTCAACTTTGCAGAGTTCGAAACACTTCATCGAGCAACTTTGAAAAAATCCTATTTAGTAATCAAGATGGAGTTAGATTACACACCTGGGAGAAAAGTTTAGAAGGAAAGGAATTTTGTTCTTGCTTGAAATGACTAATTCTTGATGAGCTAAAACAATTCGGTCTTCCTATTATGTTTTTCCTCTCCAAATTCGGTATCTAAACATAGACAAGTAGGGTAAGGAAATTTGATAAAGAAAACAATAGAAAATCATTTGAAATCGTGCAAACTATAACATAATAATCGATGTAGTGGGAGAATTGATCTCTCTACATGAGCTATGACTAACAAAACCAACGAGATTACGTAAAGGAAAATCAAGAGGAGAATGGCTACTAATTTATAGACCAATTACTGCATACAAACTACAGATTATACCAAGTCACAAAATCAAACAGCCAAATTTCCATGCCTTTTTCCACATATCTGATCAGGAAGGATCACAGACGCAAGCATCGAACCTACAATTTCTCCTTTCGCAAAAGGAAATTCGAACAAATAAAAGAAATAAGGAAAAAATTGAAATGTGTGAATAAAAAACACCTCCAAAACCTTCTCCAATCACATTATCTACACTCAATATTCAGCCAATTACAGCACAACCATGCAAACACTGATTAAAAACATGATCAAGCTATAACAAAATTGAACCCAACACCATCCTGGCCTGCATGCCATAGACACCTGAGTTCCCAAAAAATCGGTGCTTTTTTTTCTTAAATATGGAAATTTAAAGCAGAAAAATCAAAACCCATAAAGAAAAGATCAATCTTTCAGAAAAATGAGCTAAGTTAGTAAATATTCAAAAACCCCGTACAATCTAAATTGCATATCTGAACGAAAAGATCAAACCCCAGCAAGAATTTTACCTTTTTTTTTCTTTCTTTCTTTTTTACCTTTTGGGTTTTTCGAAATTCTGGGTTTCGTGTGCTGGTGATTTCTGTGTTGGGTATAATGTGAATTGCCCATGAAAATTGAAAAATCCAGTCTTTACGGACTGTTTAAGGAAATAAGACTTCTCCATGCGAGACTTGGGAAAGACGAAGTCTTCTTGAGAAGGTCTCGGTGGGACTGTTGAGGAGCACAACAATTAATACAACACTCAACTGTCCTCCATGAATAAACGACATAAAATGTTCTAAATAATAATAATAATCTTAATTCAGTATTTTACAATTTTAGTTGACTTTCCGTTCAAACCTTTAAATGGGATGAGACTTTTGAGAGTCAACGCATCTACAATGCATTGGTCTAGTTGGGTCTAATATTGCTTATGTGGCATGTAAATAAGTATTGGATGACATGGATAAATTTATGTGAAATTAATAAAATTCACGATTCAAATAGATTAGGTTTCTACTTAGGTCTAAAATAGACTTTAATGGTAGATCGGGTCTTTTTTTTCTGACTCCACATCAGCAGGACTCAGTCTACTTTATTTGCATTGGAGAATATATTTCTTTTCAACTTAGTCTATTTCTAGGTGGCATGTAATTTTTTGTGATTGAACCAAAAACATTATGAATGCTCTAAATAAAACTCGTTTAATTAATGAATAAAGTTTGAGCTCTTAATGAGGATGCTCGATAAGAATAAAAAATATAATTTATTATGTAAAATTATGTAAATCAACTAGTTCATAGTCGAACTCAACTCTAATAAATGTATAGTCATCTAGTTAGCAGTTGAGTTCAATAAAAGCTCGAGCAGATTACAACTCTACTCGTTTACGTCGTAGACGATTTTGAGTAAAATAAAAATGAGAGTTTATTCAATTTATTTCATTGAAAGCGAGTAGAGACATATTTGAGTAACATTATATTAATAATAATTTTTGGTTTTGGGGTTGATTATCCAAAATAATAATAAAAATATTATGTTTACTAAAGTTAAAGTTTTTAATGAGTTAGTTATAATAATTCTAACATGTTTCGAGTTCACATTTACCGAATAGATATATATTTATAGAATGTAGGAGACTTTGCAATGGTTATGGTCACCAAATTTTAACATAATGAGTCATAAAATATTAATCTTAAACAAAATATGATGTATTTATATGTTTTAAAATGGAATTGTTCTCACTTACGTTTATAACTACAATTACAAAATTTTTATTATATGTTTTTTATATGTTAATAAAATAAAATTAACAGTTTAATAAAAGTAGCATATCGCCACACAAATAATTTTTTCATTTTCTTCACACAATCGAGTGAGAGATGAAATCAGTATTTCGAAGCGTCATTTACACCAAACTCTCATTTCCCATTCGCCCCTTAAACCCTAACCCCCACCGCGCCGCCCCACTCGCCCTCCTCCCGTGGCGCGCCGCCGGCGGACTCTCCACACTCAGCTCGATGGCCAGCGACGTGAGTGGCTCCAACGCGCCCTCTTCTCCCACCGCCGCCGCGCTCGAGAAGCAGTTCGAGGTGTTCCGGCACCAGCTGGACGGCTCCGGCGGCCTGCGTGAGCGTATTCGGGGAGTCGCCTCGGAGATCGAGTCCGTCACGAGGATTATCCAGTCGAGCCTTCTGCTTATTCACCAGTCTCGCCCTATACCTGGTAATTTTCTCTGGTTTTTTAGCTTTATTTTTGCCCTATTTTTCTGGTCCTTTTTTTTTTTCTTTTCAGTTTTCATTTGGCTGTTTGATGTTGCCAAGGTGATAGTGTGAGCTTTCGTACTATTGGGTTGTTAGAAATCGGATATAAAAATTACACAGGAATCCTTACGAACTGATATGTATTTTTCAGTTCTTACAAATAATCTAAAAAATAGAAAATTACAATAGAACTGAAAAAAATAAATTACAATTGGAAAATAAATTAAAACCTAAAACGGAAAGATTTTAGCCGAGGCCAGTAAAACTCTTTCAGCAAGAAGAATACGCCCCGTGTGGCAACTAACGGTTCAGGCGTAACTTCTCCAAAGATACAACGGTAAACGTCTCTAAATCTGTAGCACACCAGATTTACGAGCTCCGGCGAACTAGAACGGAGTCGAGAATTGAGCACTAAAAAATAAAATTATCTATAAGATAATTTTCTCTATTTTTTTTATTTTTTTTTTATTTTTTTTTTCTTCCCTTTATTCTTTCCTCTCTTCTACCGTGTTTCTTTCTTTCTTTCTTTCTTTCTTTCTTTCTGTGTTCTCTATTTCTTGTGTCTTTTTCTCCTTCTTTCAACACACATTTATATAGCACACATGAGGAATCAATTGTTGAGTTGGGTGTGAATTGGTTGAGTTGTCCACCAATTTTTATTTCTACACGCATTATATTGATCAAAATATTTAAAATGGTTGGGAAGTGGTTGTCCAAATTAATAAGTTGGTTTAACAACTTAATATATCTTAATTTATCACTCAATATTCTAACATGGGTTTTATGGGAATCCTCTCCTTTTGAAGTTAATGTTTGTTTTATGTCTTGCAATTTAGTGGAAATTAAATTGGGAGAGGAAGAGAAATTTTTGGAGCGTTACATTATGGAAACTTAAAATTATATTATTTATCTTCTCTTCTTTTTGTGGGGTTTTTGTTTTTTGTGATGTTTTTGTCGCTAAAAGCTGGTATTTTTAAATAGAGGTTGTGGAGAAGGCAAAGGGACAGATTCCTGTGTTGAGGGAACTGTACAGCAAACTTGCTGAGATTATCCAAGAATATCCTGGGCAGTATTACAGGTGAGAAGGAGAATTTGTTGTGCTCGAATTATTTCGTCTTTTGGAAGCTAAAATATATCTTTGATTTGTTGGTTTTGTGAAGGTATCATGGTGATTGGAGGACTGAGACTCAAACAGTGGTGTCTTTGCTTGCCTTCATGCATTACTTAGAAACTGAGAGTCTTCTTCTGCACGCGGAGGCTGAAGAAAAACTTGGGTGTAAGTTCTAATTACTCCAAAATTATCTTGAAATATAAGTTAGACACAAATTGGGATTCTTATTGTTGTCTTTTAATTGTTGCGAGGAGCCACTGAGCTGATTTTCATCTCTAGGCCACTCCCATGGAAAAAATGTTTTCTTTTTTTATTCGTTTGTGTGTTTTTGTGTGTTTTGCTGTGACTTGGGCAATACCGAAGTTCTTTAAGTACCTCCGGTTTTCTACTTTTAGGAAATAGAATCTTTTGTGAAGTTTCTGGTTTATGCATTAATCCAATTTTGTTCTGTAAATCTACTTTCAGAGTTCATGACATGTTTTTTCTGCTTAATTACTGTTGGGTGAAATTTGTTTGGCACTTTTCGGGTGGCTTTGGTATTTCTACACAATCTTGATGTAAATTGCTTTTAATTTGTAAAGTATGAATTATACTTGAACTTATCTGCCTGAGCTAGTATTTTAGTGTTTAATCTCAATTCCTTTGTTTATAACCATTCTTGCTTAATTCTTGTGACTGTATTCTCTATTCTCGTCATATCTGATTTGTAGGCTCATTAATGTGGGCTTGTATCTGAATTTTCTGTTTCCCCAAATATATATACAGTGAACCCCGTGGAATTTGGTCTCGATGTTGAAGACTATCTCGTAGGTAATCATCTGATTTATGGCCAACAACCCTTTTATGTAGCTTCTTTCCTGCTACTGCACCAAGCACCGTTCTCTTTTAATGCGCTTTTAGATTGTGTTTTGATATGAATCTTTTGTTCTCATGCAGGAATTTGTTTTATGTCCAATGATCTAGTAAGCATCTTAAAAACTTTTTCCCCTACTCAGCTTTAATAATATGTACACTTCACTCTCGAGAAATGCAACATTTGGGTTTTAGACGTTTCATATATTTATATCAGAAAATATGTTCCCAAGTGGAAAATGTGAAATTGCGTTTAGCTTAATCTAACATGAGTTTTTCTGTGACCTTGTATTATGATTATTACCTTGTTGCTTTATGCATTTTGCTTTATATCGAGATTTTTTTTTAATTTTATTTTTTTCCCGCAGCCAAGGTATGTTGTTAACCAAGTGACTGCTGGGGATTATGACTGCCCAAGAAAAGTACTGAAATTTCTAACTGATCTGCATGCTGCATTTCGAATGCTCAACCTCCGAAATGACTTTCTGCGCAAGAAATTTGATGGTAAACCCGCCTTTAGATTAATTTTTTTCTACTATTTATTCTTGTTATATCTATTATGGGGCTATTAGTGTTCGTTAGTACCAATTTAGTTCGAATTAAAACTATTTTATTTTTTTTTCCAATGTTGAAGGAATGAAGTATGACCTCAGAAGAGTCGAGGAAGTTTATTATGACGTGAAAATAAGAGGATTGGCAGCGAAAGAGAACTCGGGTGGGGATCAAGGAGACGAACAACCGTCATCTTGAGTTAAACGAGATCTTTTGTAGTCTTTTTGCTTGTCAATTTCGTAATATCCATTTCACGGGCCTTACTCTGGCATCCGACGTTAACATCTTTTAGCAACTTTCTTTTGTGGAGGAAAAACGGGGAATTCGACTGCTATTGTTTTGAAATTTTTACATAACTCAGATTTGATTGTGAAAGTTGTGAGAACGGAGACGTACATTCCACCCTAGATTTGAGGTTTGGTAAATTATGCAGTCTATATATGGCTGTACTGTGTTTTTTGTTTCCCAGCTTCTAATTTTCCAACGGTGTTTTTGACATTGAACAAGTTCACATTCTACTGCTGAAATAATCTTATGCAGCTTAAAATTGCCACTCTCAATCTGATATAGGAGGTTGAGTTGAAATAATGGGTAGTTTATTATATAGCAGTTTTATGAAAAGTGATTAGATCGTTTGGTAAAATTGAAAACTTCACGCATGGACATGGTTTCAATGAAGTTTATTTATTAATTTTTAAGGGAGCACTCACAACTTCTGCCTATATATTTGGTAAATAAGCGTCAACGTACAAGCACCAATGTGGCTGTAGTTTAGTGGTGAGAATTCCACGTTGTGGCCGTGGAGACCTGGGCTCGAATCCCAGCAGCCACATACTCTTTTCTTTTTTTTTTTTTTTTCNAAACTTCATTCCGAAATCAAACTGCTTGCATTTTTTCGCTAAAGAACATAATTAAAGTTCGTTACAACTTAGAGTAGAAATCATACATTTATTTAAGTCATTAGTAAAAACACTTTCTGCCAAAAGGTAATTTGCAGAATTTATACCTTATAACAATGCCAAGTCCCATTAGGAGCAACAAATATTTGCTACTTAATAGTACTGGCATAATCATTTCATTTTGACACACCATTCTATTAGTCATAATACCAAAGGAAGAACAGTCATTCTTCATAAATTTGGATAAGCAGAATAGAACAGATTTTACGTAGAAAGACAATAAGGTACCACACGGTTCTCAGTTCTCACTAAACAAATAGTTGTACAAGCTCGATCCTACATTATACTCTATTGAGTTCATGATAGCTACAGACTCATTTGAACAAATGACACTCATACTCTCATGTCCCAACAAGAAATCTGAACTATGTAGCCCACACTGCGCCCAATTTGGATAAACAGATTTATTCTCTTGAATCATCAATCAAATACGATAGATATATATACTCGTGTAGATGATCAGCTAAAGATCTTCCCACAAATTTGGAGCTCAACACACGGTATAGCAAAAGATAACCAAAATTATTCAACTAGCTGATTGGATTTAAATATATGTAAATGAGTGGCAAACCAAAACAAGTACAAACAGTTTCATCAAGGCTTCTCAAAAATCACAAATGAATAATAGGCACTACACCGATAGCGCACACACAAATACCCGCAAAAACATACCAGGAACAAGTTTTTCGATGTTTCATAATTCAAGGATGAAGAAAAATTTAACGGAAAATTGGAGTGCAGCTCATTTAAAATCGGGATTCTCCGGGTAGGTGCAGCCGGATCTTTGAATAATGACATTGGCTCCGTAACATCCGGCCCTCACGCATTCCTCTATGGGTTTACCGAGAACCAATTGTGACAAAAATCCGCCCACAAATGCATCACCTAAAAAAAATGGCAAAAAGGTAGCTCATTAATGGCAAATAAGTTTTTACTTATCTAATTCTTAGTGTAAGAGTAAGACTTATCTAATGATCCCTTGGATAGTTGAATATATATAGGCAGATGGATTCAAGTAAACATTGTGGAAAAGTTTTGCCATTCGAGTCCCACAAAAAGTCACACACCTGCACCATTGGTATCGACAAGTTTCTCTTTTGGCAATGGGATAACGGGCAACAGCTTCACCTTTCCATCCTCGGCAACAACAACTGGATCCGCACCTTGTGTAATAACAGTAATTCTCTTGTGGGTCCCAGATGCCTTTGGCAGCTGGGAAATTTTCACGGCTATTTCCTCAACGTTCTCTGTCTGTTCATTCGAAAGAGTCATGTTTAAATTGTACAACAGGTTAATAATAAGTATATTACGGAATCTGGTTTGGTGAAGACGTGTTAGTATGTTACCTCCCAGCCATGAACTTTGGAGAAAGCTCTTGCTTCAGTTTCATTTCCGAAAACATAGTCCATGTACCTGTAACCCAATTAAATGTGGTGTGCCTTTAATCAAAGTTTGTATGTTTTCAATGATTCATCCAATTAAAAATTTCAAGAAACCACACTTACGGGAATACTTTGTCTTGAACATCCTTGAAGAACTCGCAGATAAATGGAGCAGAAAGGTTCGTCAAGAAAATCTACACGTAAATCAACATTGATCAGATGTTATGGTATTGCAGTAAACTGTGCATGTGTTTTTTATAATTATAAAGACCCCCTAGGGTTTGTATTTGTCTTACGATAACTTTCCCTCCAAATGTGTGCAGTGCAGTTGCAAAATAGGACATGCTGTGTGATTTTGAAACATAACTACATTTCTATATTTATTACATAGATTAATTATCAAGCTTCTTAGTTCTTACCTTGTTATTAGCAACTGCATGCTCTGCAACATGCAAGATAGACTCTGGGGAAACTGTGAGGAAAAATCCAGCAATGTAGTAGAATTTGGCTTTTTCCACTGTCAAAAAGGTAAATAAGTTAATAGGATTAAACGAAGTTAGACAGTGCCTACAAGTCAAGTAGAGCATACCCAGTGCCCAGTTTTCAGGTTTCTTTAAGTGGTCAGGTTTGTAGCAATTTGCAGCTGACAAATTGGCAACGAGTGACCTGTAAAATATTTTTAACTGACTTAGTTAGCCAAGAAAATGAAAGGCCAACAAAGAAAATGATATCTCTTTAAAGATACAGACCTTTCGCCACCAACAACACATACACCACAAGTACCAGTTGGAGAGTCATCCTCATAATAATGGACCTAGAGCAACCACATGGAAGAAGGCAGAAAATATATATATTGATTAGGATAAAAAGTTACCACAGCAAATGGGGGATCAAACAGAAATAAGTTACTTACATTAACACCAGCTTGTGTAGCATTTTTCTTCATCTCCTCTCCAAACTTGTCTTTCCCAATGGAACCCATATAACTCGTTGCGCCAGGAATTTGAAGCATCCACTGTAAAATAGCAACTTGAATTATTACACGTTTACATAGTACTTAATTGTTAATAGAGTGAACTGACACAGATTATCATCAAGATATTGACAAGTTCTGTTTATGTACCTGGGCGACTCGGATTGAATTTTGAGTAGCCCCTGCAGTATAAAAGTTAGATTAGCCTAATAATAAACACCGGCATACACAATAACCAATTGGAAAAATTCAAGAACAAACAGAAAATAAACTACCTCCAGCAATGTACTCCACTTTGAACTTGGATGCCATTTCTTCATACCTGAGGGATTACATTATCGATCAAGAATACATCACTAATCATTATTAATCATTTCTTCTTCAAAATACATTATTGCTTCATTTACATTATTAAACTTTCTATAGATCTATTAATCTCACTCAGTCACACTACCCAATGGTTTTGTATAATTTCAAAATTTGAATCAATAGCTCAGAAAACATGGTTAATCAATTATCAAGTCTCAGAAAGTTATCCTCCCAACTAGAAGATGAAATTAAGAAATGCCCACATGGTGACCATTGGCAGCTCATTACACAACATGGCAGCATGCATAACCACCACTTCTAGATTTAGTTGAGCAGTACCAATCACGAATTTAACAATAAATCAACACTATTACCGAGTTTACCGGAGTCCTAAACCATGACAGTGATTTATTTGATTTCTACCAGCTGTCCAGAATAACAATGCTGGACTACTGTTGAGCCAACACAAACAATAACTCCAACCACGGACACATCCATCAAATTAACTTTAAACACAATTCAAACCAGCAACATATTCCAGCGTATCCATGGAGGAAAAAAAAATGTAAATCAAACTACTCACAGAGGTAGATGCTTCTCCTCGGCCAGAATCGCGTTGTTCAGCTTAAGATCATATCTGCCAAGCATAAAAACTACATTAGCTTCACCATACACCACCAGATTCCATTTAAATCACAGCTAAACAAAAACAATTCGCCTCAATAACTAACGCCAGATCCTGGATCTAGCAAAACCAGCTCACAAAATTCCACCAACACAAACAATAACATTCATCACAAACTCCTCAGATCCGCTCAAACCAAAAGCAACCAAACAATCAATCTACATTATACAATACCAAAAATCGCTAGATCTCAGGCTCGAACATGCATGTAATCGAGGCGCGTGAGCCCAAAAAAAAAGTAGAGAAAATTACTTGTCGAGAAATTCCTGATCCACCACGGCAGAGATGTCGAGGAGAGGATTACCCATTCCCAGGAGGATTCCTTCGTACTCCATTGTCGAGCGATTTGAGATGAAAATGAGCTTGGATTGAACGCTTGTGGAGTTCAAAGGGAGCTATGAGGAAGAGCACAGAGTTTGGTGTGTGTGTGTGTGTTTATATAAGGTCGGTCCATAAATACGGAGTAACTGTACTGCGGGTTGTTGAGGGTAGGGCCGGGTTAGGGGGTGGAAACTTTGGACGGCTGAGATCTTCTCCCACCAACTTCGGTGAGATTTTGAAAATCATTTTTTATTTTTACTGCCCTTCATCGAAAACTAAACTGGCGAATTAATTAAAATTTAAAAATTACATTAGTCAATTAATAAAAAAAAAAAAGAGGACAAAAATGGCTGATACTCATTAGAAGAGAGGGGGAAAAAGGAAAAAATAAACAGTGATAAGTTGTGTAAACAAATTCATGAAACTACATAATAATTAGGGAGGTGGACTCGTGACATTTTTTTAATTAAAACTGAATATTTCTATTATAAAAATATCTTATTTTTATTTATGTTGTTAAAATATACTCCCTCCTATTTTTAATAAATATCGTTTTGAGAAGTTGCACAATAATTAAGAATATTTTTTTTGTCAATAATAACTCTCATTAATGAGGATACAGATTGATGTTTTGAGAAAAAATGGAGAGTGAATATGGAAAGACGTAGTGTATTTATTAGTTAGATAAAAGTGATAATGGAAAAATATGTATAAAATAACCAAAACGACATTATTTAACAAATGATCAATTAAGCCAGAATGACAAATAATAAAAATAGGAGAGATTAATATTTAAGTCTAAAAGTTTGCATACTTTAATGAAGTTTTTTTACATAATGTGTGTGAACTTTTTGTATGATCTTGTAATTAAATTTTATGTGCAATGGTACTTTTGTATGATCTTGTAATGAAAGCACATGATGAATTTTTACTTTTTTTATGATTGGGAAAAGTGATNTGACTTAATTCTATAACCAATATTGCTCGAGAGTAATATATTTCAAAGGAAATCTTCCTCCCAAACCACGAAGCACCGACGGGATTCTCGATTATTTATGTACATTTAAGGAATCACCGACAAAACAATAAAATGTATGAACAAAACAATACAAAACAAAACAAAACAACAATAAAAACACAAAAATGCTATCGTGTCTCCACTCGAATTGTATGGGAAGATAAAATCTGAGTCTCCACTCGAATTTGCAAACACCCAAAGATTTTTTTTCTCCTTAAAAAAAGTGCCATCGTGTCTATAGTTTACTCGCTCCATTAAAAGCAAAATAGCTTTGAAAAAACCTCTCCTTGAAGCAATTTAATCATGCCTCAAAAATGAATTAATGATCTAAAATTTGCATTCGAAGAAAACAATGTTGCAGAAGACTACATCGAACTATCGACCGTTGAAAGATGATCACAGATGGCCTTGGTGAAGTCCGTAGTCGTCGATTTCCCACCAAGATCGCCCGTTCGGTACTTACCTTCTGCAATCGTTTTCAGTACAGCGTCTTGGATTCTATCTGCTTTCTCATGAAGATTCAGATGGCGCAACATGGACACAGCACTCAGGAGCAAAGCCGTTGGGTTTGCCAAATTCTACAACAAAAAGGTTCGGTTGAATAATGAAGGCGAAAGAAAATGCACGATCCAGAAGATATATACATATGAAATCCAGCCATGAATTGATGCATCGAAATAAATCTACTGTTAAAAAATGAATTTCAGCAAATATCGGGTGTATCATTAAAAGAAGAGCAGTAGAAAATATAGAACCGTTTAAATGCGAACCTTTCCAGCAATATCAGGTGCGGAGCCATGTACTGCTTCAGCAAGGGCGATACCTCCCTCACCAATATTGCAGCTGTTTGGGGAACAGATTAAGTAAGACTTAATTAAATATGATTGAGATACTTTTGAGAGACCCGATGGAAGAGAATATTACCTGGGAGTTAAGCCCAAGCCTCCAATCAAACCAGCACATAGGTCACTGATTATGTCACCATAAAGGTTCGGCATTACCAGCACGTCAAAAAGGGATGGATTCTTCACAAGCTGTACATTGAGGAAAAAGAAATATCACGATTGGATCATTATATTAATAGGTCTTCACTTCAATAGAATAGTAACACTCGTATTTAATGGAGATAAAAATCTTTCGTACCATCATACAACAGTTGTCAATCACAACCTCTTCGTATTTTATCTCTGGGTAACGTTCTGCAACCTCACGACAACACTGAAAGCATGGGAAGAAGAATGAAGCGCTGGATGCAGAAAAAAGTGAAAGAACTTGTTCGAAATAATATAAAAGGCGGTCAGACCTTAAGGAAAAGACCATCAGTTTTCTGCATGATATTTGCTTTGTGAATGGCAGATACTCTTTCTCTTCCATGGGTCTTAGCATAGTGAAAAGCATACTCTGCAACCCTTAGACTCGCGTGTCGTGTAATGATCTTGAGACTCTCAACAACGCCCCTGACCACCTAAGACAAACTCAAGGAGCTTAATCATTAATCAGAATTTGACAACATATGAGTTACTTTAGGATTCAGTTCATGCCGAAGATAATCTTAATTCTTACCTGATGTTCAAGACCACTGTATTCTCCTTCGGTGTTTTCACAAATAGTAATGAGATCAACACCATCGTATTTTGTCTTGTAGCCAGGTAGGCTGTAACAAGGTCTAACATTGGCGTACAGATTGAGCTCTTTCCTCAAGGTAAGGTTAAGCGAGCGGTGACCTTTCCCGATTGGTGTGGCCATAGGCCCTTTTAGGCCGACTTTGTTTCGCCTCACAGATTCCAGACTTTCCCGTGTCAAGAAACTTTGGGTACAAGGATCGATTTCTGACCCCACAAAATGTTCTTCCCATTCAATAGGCACATCTGCAACTTTAAACACCTGGGTTTCCACCAATTAGTTATGTTACTTCACAAAAAGGTAAAGTAGAATCAGAAAAGTTTCTTCTGTGTAATCATCTTTACTATCGCATGTTACACCAGTATTTACTAATCAATTACCACTTCAGTTAAGTAAGTCAAAATACGTTGAAACCTGTTCCAACAATAGCAAAATGTATTGACAAACATGAGACATCAAAAGTTAAACATTTAAGCACAATACAATCACATCATACATCCAGGACACGGTGTGCTGATGCAATATTTCTGCACCTTTGACTAACAAAATACCGAATGCATTATAAATGAATTACAAATAACATGAGTCACATACCAAAACCATTTATCCAGTAATAACTGAGCTCAATTATAGCCTATCTTGAAATTGATCACTGATAAAAGCAGTGAGAAATTCCTTTTACTATATACTAACAGCGCCCGAATGCGTAAAAATGCTTATACTTTTTTCACTCAACCCTAGCCTACCCCAACTTGATTGGGACTAAAAGGCTATGTTGTTGTTGTTGTTGTTGTTGTTGTTTTCACTCAACCACGTCTTCATTAGTTTTATGCAACTCACAGGGCTCGGCCAGACAGGACAGAGTTCGTGTAAAATTGGACAGTCTCCTTCATTAGTATTTGTCATTTTTTTTCCTCCTATTGTGAAGTTATACCAGCAATCAAGTGAAGAAAAATCTAGGTCGTGTGCTCGACTGTATACAAGCACAAAATTAAGAAAAATTCTCTAAACGTGACCGAACATTCTCCTTTATGATCATACGAAATACACACATGCACAATTGTTCAGCCATCTCCATTCCTTCAACAATCACGTGGATCATCAACTCTACACACGCACGCACAACCCATAACTGTACCATGAAATTCAAGCTCGATAACAACTCAAACACCGCTAATTCCAATACGCAGCACAAGGAAACTTCGCATACTTCAACCCGCTCATCAGAATTCAAAAGGTGCAAAAATAAAAAAGCCTGCTTAACTACACAAGGATAAATTATCGACGGGCCACGTTTTCGTACCTGTTTGACGGACTCGGCGATCTCAGGCCCAATTCCGTCTCCGGGAAAGAGGGTGGCGCGAATCAGATTAGAATCCGATGCGGCGGAGGACGAGAAACTCCGATCGAAGAAGATAGGGTTTGCGGAGGAGGATAATCCACCGGGTCGGATCAGGGCGAGCCGTCTGGCGGTATGCAACGCCATTAACAAGCTGCTAAGCCTTTCAGGCTACGGTCCTGCGCGCAGTATTGAATCAACCAATTTTGATCGAATAACAGAATATTTATTTATTAGCGAAAAGAAAATTACGTGATGAAGTTTTGAGGAAGGAGATTTGTCTATGAGCGTTTGGGAGGTCAAAGTCAGCGAAATGACTTATGTATTTTTATTTTAACAAATATTTTCTTTTATGTCGCTAGAAATATTATTATTACAATTATTACTAGTATTCAATTATGAGCACATGTTAAGATGAACATAAAATTTTATATGTTATATGTATATGTGTATATATAATATTTAAAAACCATAAGTTATATATGAGTGTATCACAATTTATAAATTTTAATATATAACTTACATATTAATATTTATATTAATTGTAATTATATAATTTTTGCAATCTTAGTTGATTATAACCCATTAATTAGATTAAATAATTATTAAAATTATTGTTTTAGTATTTTTGTACAAAATTTTAAAGAATTTGGTTATGCCATAAAAAAATAATTAACTAATTTTAATAAAAAAAACTTGCTAAATGAGCTAACAAATAATTAAATAATTTTAATAAAAAAGTTGCGTAATTTTTAATAAATAGTTGAAAAAATAAGTAAATTGAATATCACTAACATGAATTTATAATTAATTAATAATAACTATTATGTAATATAGAAAAATAAATATATAATTATTTGATAAATGGAAATTGTAACGGAAAAGAGCGGCAAAACAAAAATAATTGTCAACAATTATATATAGAGAGTGGTTATTATTATTATTATTTCTTTTTTTGGGTGACACGTCGGGTGCAATCGGACCGAGCCAAATCGAGCATTTCTCTTACTAAATATTTTCAATGTTGCTTGAACTTGACTTTTCCTCCCCATACCTGCAAAGCACCGGGAGTATTATCGATATAGACACTCTAATAGTTAAGTAAGTAAAATTAATTGGCTTTTATTTGAATGTTAGCTGATTGGTGTAAAATTGGTGAAGTGAATCTCACTTTAGGTTTGACCCGTCAAATCCATTAAGTGGCTTGTTTAGTAAGGAGCTTAATTGATTATTTTTTTTAGCCCAAAACTTTAATTCTGAAAAACTTCAAGTCATAATTATATGCACGTTTTGAGAATAGATGATTCATATAATAACATGATGTCAAAATAAGATTTTCAAAGTTGTTGTACAAACCGATATTTACCAAAATTTATAAGTCGTTGATATAATTCTCTAGGTCAAATTCAGCTATTTCAATCCATTATCAACTATTCGCTAATACAATCAACTATACACTATTCTAATTGCCATATTGAATTGGACGTCTAACTGAAAATCAATCCTAAAACTCTTTTTTTTCCTCAAACAATAATATTATATAAAACTAGAAAATAGAGTATATCCGAGATGTCATATGATATCACAAGGACCAGTTCAAAGCCTAATCACTCTCCCATGGAATTACAATGTCAATAGATGAAACAATTTATTACCAAAACACTCTGGTACAAGAAAACACAAAACTCCAAAATACTAATACCTTATTGCTCAAGCTATTGTCATAGAAAAGGTCATCCCAACTACCTCCACACAATTCAACTACCACAATCTTAGGACAATGTGTACCACCCAACATCTAACCCATCCAGCAACCTCATATTAACTGAGAATTACTAATCTGGATTTATAAACCATAATCGAGAGCGTGTAACTCAATCAGCTGATTTGGGATGTTATATCATAAATTATTTTTATAAAAATGGTGAAATTGTATAGTTCCCTCTTCCCAAACAAGTGAAAAGACCATCTAAAAATTTTGGGCTTCTATTTAATAGTTGTGGTGTTAAATCATAAATGTTCCCATCATATGACAGTTCACTATTGTGTCCCAAAGAAAGCATTAAAAGAAAAGGTTCAAATGAGCAAGAAATTTCTGATGGAACCTCACAACTTGAACACACTCACTGTCTTCTTACCAATAGTATACTGTACTCATTCCACAACCACTTCATAGTTGATATTCAACCAACACAATATCCCACCAACTTCAATTCTCTCATCACTTTCTTTTTGTACATTTAGTAACTCAAGTTACATAGACATATAGCAAACAACACACAGACACACAGCCCACAGCCACAACTTCTTCCCAATTTCACACCAAATACAACAACAACAACATCATCAACAAGACACATTATTCCAAAAAATAAAATAAAAAACACAACAGTAAACCCAACAGAGTCCAATTTTCAGCATATTGGAAGAGGCTCTCCATTCCATCCCTCAACACACTCCAGCAATGGATCCACAATAAGCCCTTCACTCAAAGCCCCAAACACCTTATCGCACTCCTCCCCAGGCGAAACCACCCGTTCGCCCGTCAAAAACTCGGCCCCCAATTCCTCCCTCACGAACCTATACAAAGGATACGACCTGCACTCCTTAACCCGATTCCCCACAATCGGGCTTCCCTTCTCTACCAAAGCCCGCGCCCCTTCAACCTCCTTAGGCAACACAGCCCGAAGCTCCTCCTCAAAAGCCCGAATCTTTTGGAAAATCGACGTCCCCTCGTTTTTCTCCATCTCCCCGTTTTTCAGCGCGTGGTCCACAAGCACCTGCCTTAGCTTCTGCATCAACGGGTAAGTCCCGCTACACGGGTCATCCGCGTAGGCAAATACATACTCACGATCGACGACTCGGAGCAAATCCTTCTCGCAAAACCTCGATGGGTGAAGCTCGCCGTTGACACCCATGGTCAAAGTCTTCTTGCAGACTTGACTAACCGCGTTCTTGACCGCCAGCCGTAGATTCTCCTCCAGGTGGCGGAGATCGACCGCCTGGCACAAAGCAATCAGATAAGTCGAAAACATTAGCTTCAATATATCAAGAGCCTCGACCGTCTTTCTCGACGAGATGAGCCCGAGCGAGTTCACGTCTTGGTTATGCTGCTCGGCGCTCTGCACGTGGTTTGTTACAGGGTTTGCTAAAAACTGAAGCTCCGAGCAGTAAGCGGCCATGGCGATTTCCGAGCCTTTGAATCCGTAGTCTAAACTCGGGTCTCGACTGGCTGAGAGATTTGATGGGAGGCCGTTGTTGTAGAAATCGTTGACGAGCTCGGAAAATTGGGCGAACATGAGTTTTCCGATTGCGGCGATTGCGAGGCGGGTGTTGTCCATGGAGACGCCAATGGGAGTGCCCTGAAAGTTGCCGCCGTGGAGGGCTTTGTTGCGTGAGACGTCGATTAAGGGGTTGTCGTTGACTGAGTTAATTTCGCGTTCGATCATTTTTGTGGCGGTTCGGATGGTTTCGATTTGGGGGCCGAGCCACTGGGGGGAGGTGCGGAGGGCGTATCGGTCCTGTTTGGGTTTTTGGAGAGGGTCGGTTTCGTGGAGTTTTTGGGCGGATTTGACGTAGGAGCTGCCGGAGAGGAGGTGTTCCATGATGGCGGCGGCTTCGATTTGGCCGGGGTGGTGTTTGAGTTTGTGGGTGAGGTGGTCGGTGAATTCTGGTTTTCCGTTCATGACCTCGGCGAAGATGGCGGAGGTGACGACGGAGAGGAGGGAGAGGATGTTGGCTTCGTAGAGGGCGGTGGAGGCGAGGCCGGAGCCGACGGCGGTTCCGTTGACGAGGGCGAGGCCTTCTTTTGGTTGGAGGGTGAAGAAGGCGGCGCCGGCGGTGGTGGTGGTGGTGATGCCGGCGAGGGAGAAGGCCTGGGAAGGGGTGAGGGAAGAGCCGTCGGGGCCGACGGCGCGGGAGTTGGGGCGGCCGGTGAGGAGGCCGGCGATGTAGGATAAGGGGACCAGGTCGCCGGAGGCGGTGATGGTGCCGCGGAGGGGGAGGCAGGGGGTGACGTCGGAGTTGAGGAGTTTGCTGAGGGCGTCAAGGATTTCGAAGCGGATGCCGGAGTAGCCCTGGAGGAGGGTGTTGATGCGGACGAGCATGGCGGCGCGGGTGGCGGCGCGTGGGAGGGTGTGGGTGGAGGAGTCTGGGCCGTGGCCGAATATTCCGGCGTTCAGGAATCTGATCGGGAAAAAAAAAACAGCAGGTTTATTGACCGGGAAAAGAAAGTTTCATTAATTAAATTAACTTTTACGTTTTAAGCCAAATTTGGATGCTACATTATCAGGAAAAAAATTTCAATGCAGTTTTTTTAAACACAATCAATCTATTAATTTGGTGTAAAGGAAGTAATATAAATAGAATTAACCACAGTTCCAAATAAAATCAACTCACCTAATAAGCTCCTTTTGCAGAGCGCCGCCCTGCTTGGTCCTCCGGTGAGACGTCGCTCCAAATCCCGTCGTCACTCCATAGCTATCCGTCCCCTTATTCATGCTCTCCATAACCCAGTCGCTGCTCGCCTTCACCCCAGCCCTCGCCGCCTCCGCGAGCTCCACCCCGACCGCTCCTCCCCTGGCGGCCACCGCCGCCACCTGCCCTATCGTCAGGCTCTCCCCGCCCAGCCTCACCGTCTCCCTCCTGAAATCCGCCACCATCCGCCGCACCTCCTCCAGGTGGCTCCCCTTCATCCCCGCCGCTGCCGCCGCCCAGTTCAGCGGGTCCGCCACGCCGGCTCGATCCTTCGTGCACAGCCCGTCGTTCGACCGGTGAACGCCGAACTCCGTCGTTGGTGCCATCTGATCCACAACAAAAAAGGTGAAAACTCCGGCCGGCGGTGAAATTGAACCGATTTTTTTACTCAATTGTGTCTTATTGTACTAATTTTTGAAATGTGGTTAGATATGGGGCAGCTTTAAATAGACGGTGGAATTGGGATATAGATACAGATTCTGTGTATGTATATATTTTGGTAGGTGGTTTAAAGAGCATTTGGGGGTGGAGGCAAAAGAGAAAAAAAAAAAAAAACTAACCTTGTGGGTTGGTTGAGGATTGATCTGGGCCATTGGTGGGTTGGGATGGACGGTAGTGATCGATTAGCGTAGGTATGGATTTATTTAAACAATTCAGCTGCTTCGCGTGGGGGTTGGTGGAACGTTTGAATATTTTTCGGGAAAATTAATTTAATTTTTTATTTTTCTTTTTTGACCTTTTTAGGTGGATAATTCAAGGGAGTTTACCAAATTGGGAGTTGATTGTGTATTGGGGTCTTTTTAAGAGATTTTATTTGGATTATTTTGGTGTATTATGAAAGTTTATTTATTATTTTATTTTCTTAATTATTGTTTTATTAATTAAATATTCATAGGAAAAAAAAAACTTTCAAAAACGGTTCATTAACTTCTCATATAATTAATCTTAATTCATCAAGTTAGTACTTTTATCAACTCGTACAAAATTTTAATTTCGACCATCAAATTTAACGACAATAATATAAAGTGGCGTGACGAAACATGAATATAAGATGAGTATGCTTGGATATAAAAATTTTAATTTCGACCATCAAATTTTACTCTGATATCATTTGAAGTCTTCTCAAATCGATGCATAAGAGAGCCAATTTTTTTCTTTTTTTCCCTTTTTTCTTTTTTATGGTTTTGGTATGCATCTAAAGGTAGCATGGATGTGTTTCTCAATATTTTTGCTAAAAAATTTCATATTTTGTACACGTTTAATGTTTTAAATTTGTCTTGAAATGTAACATTTGGAGATCGAAATAAAAATAAGATCTTTACATTATTTTTGATGAAGATACTAATATAACATATTAAATTTAGTTATACATTAAGAAGAATAAAAATAAAAATCATAATCACAAGTGTACACTTATAGAATTTTGTTAATGTTACTTTAACATATAACTAGCTCTAAAATGATTTCTAATATTATTTTTGAAGAGCAAATCTTTAATGCATCATGAGTGGTCCGTAACTAATTAATTACCATGACAAATTGGTGGTCATACAAAATTTGTATGTACAATGTGTCAATAGTGTGATGACACGATATTGACATATCTTATTTTGCTTTATAGGTGGGATGGTTAGTGATTATCTATTGCAAATTTGCAATGAGGTGGGAAAAGAATATTTGTAGCATTTTATTTTGACTATAGGTGCCATATATTTTTTTCACAAATATCTTTACTTTCATTATAAAATATTATACTTTAAAAATAAACACAAATAGAAGTGTGACATGTGATAATATAAGTATATTTTTTTTATTCACATATAGCACACTATAAGAAATTGAAAAATGCAGATATAATTTACTATTACCTTTTTCTATAAATACGATAGGGGGTCAATGTAATTAAGGAGCTGTCTAGATGGTTTAATAGAGAAGGAGCCCAGACAAATACCGGCCAACCATCAAACCTTCTAATCCTTGGTAAGATAACTCTCTTCAATTTTTCTTGGGATAGGAGAGAGTAGGTCTTGCTTCATATTTGTAATGAAAATATTCCGTCCGAGATCACCAACTGATACACTATAGATTAACAATGCGTTATGTGTATAATATTTTTATACTGTTATCAATAGAATACTAACAAAATATTATAACATAAAAATGAGTCTTACTATTGTTAGAATATCACTTGTGAATTGTCCCACATCGTTCGTATATGGAAAATAGACCCACCTTATAAGACTAATGGGCTACTCCTCCTTCCACCAATTGGTTTTGGGATGAAAACCCATTTGGGCTTCATATGAGTTTTTCCCTTCTTTCATGGTGTCCTTTATGGTAGTGGGCCAGCACCCATTTTCCCCAGTTTCTGTCATGGTATCAGAGCCGGTTCTATCTTGGACCGTGTGATGACGTACCCATTGTTTCCCCCAGTTTCTGTCATGGTATCAGAGCCGGTTCTATCTTGGACCGTGTGATGACGTACCCATTGTTTATCCCACACGTACCCGTTTCTGTCATGGTATCAGAGCCGGTTCTATCTTGGACCGTGTGATGACGTACCCATTGTTTATCCCACACGTACCCGTTTATGGGAGCCTGTTTATGGGAGCCTGTTTGTAGTAGGGCTTGGGCTTTCGAATGACTCACAAGTGAGGGGGCGTGATAGACCCACCTTATAAGACTAATGGGTTACTCCTCCTTCCACCTTATAAGACTAATGGGCTACTCCTCCTTCCATCAATTGGCTCCTTCCACCTTATAAGACTAATGGGCTACTCCTATTTCCACCAATTGGTTTTGGAATGGAACCCCATCCCTTAGTTTCTGTCAACTATGTTATTGTAAAATGCAAAAGATTGAAATTGTTGAAGATTTGTAAGGAATTTCTTATGTTTTAGTGATGGTACCAACATAATACTAATATAATATTGCAACGGAAAGTTGAGTTTTACTAAATAGTTGTAAAATGCAAGAGATTCAATTTATTGGAATTCGTAAAAACAAAATTCTTATGGATTAGTGACGGTACGCAACATATACAACTAAAATTCATTTGTAAATTGAAAATTATATTGGGTAAAATTGGTTGGTAATCCGTTCAAAAAATATTCGATAATATATTGAAAAAATATTTGTTAGTAATCTGTTGAGAAAATATTCATTAGTAATTCGTTGTAAGTCTGTGTCTAATCTGTTGGAATTTTGTCAATGATTTTCCAACGGACGAATGTCATCCGTTGAAAAAATGTTCGTTAGTAATCCATAGGGCTGCAAACGAACCGAGCGGCTCGCGAGCGCTCGAGTCAAAACTCGACTCGAGCTCGAGTTTGACCGAACTCGAGTCGAGGTTGAGCGGCTCGAGTACGAACTCGAGTCGAGCTCGAGCCCATAATTTGCCTTGTCGAGCGGCTCGAAATGCATGTTAAATTACTAAAATACTTCTTATATATATTAGCATACGTGCTTAATGGTAATTTTACCTTTCCCCTTAAAAAATTTTGAGCCGAGCTCGAGCATTTTGATTTCGAGCCGAGCTAGAGCTATTGTAATTTTTTATTGAGTCGAGCTCGAGGAGCTCGAGCAGCTTAAAAAAAGTTAATCCTGCTCGATAAGGCAAATGCTCGACTCGGCTCGACTCGTTTGTAGCCCTAATAATCCATTAAGATGTTCGCGTCTAATATGATTGGGATTTTGTTAGTGATTTCTAACTAATAATCTGTTGAAAAAGTATCTATTGACAATCCGATCGAAAAAAAAAATTGTTTGTAATTTGTTGATAAGTTCGTGACTAAAATGTTGGGATTTTGTTAGTAGTTTACCAATGAATTTATTTAGCAACAAGATTATCTGTTGAAAATCTCTTTACAACAATATGAAGTTTCTCCATTTAAAATTTCTTGGTAAATCGTATGCATTTTTTCGAGCGGATTGTGGTTTCCATTGGCAATAATTAACAACAAACATATGGACATAACAACAACAAAATCCATTAATTGACAATACCAACATATTATTCCTGTGGTAAAATTTACAATTCGTTTAGTGGCTTAACTCGAGACTGCCTCACGTCAAAGTTTGTGTTATATTGAACTAGTATTCCACCTGTGTATTTGCACAAATATAAATAAAGTATTGTGAGTTATTTGTATGCATATAATGATTAATGATTTCTCTTTCACTTTTTTGCAGGCCAAATTTACAATTAAATGAGCTGGAATATTTATTTTTTTAAATTGCGTTTATCATATTGGATGTAATGTATATTTTGGTATGTTTTTTTTTTTGTGAATTATTTAGGAATTTCAAATATGTTTTTTATTTTTCAAAAGAAGTTAATTTAAATGTAACCACAATAATAATATCTAATCACGTTAAATAGTCAACACATTATATAGTCAACTGTAAGTAAATCAAAAGTTTAAAATAATTTTTATAATTTTGAAGTGATTAGTGTGTTGATTATCCAATAATTAAATAAAAGGTTAAATAAATAAAAAGTAACAGTTTTTGGAGAGAAATTGTTATTTTGCCACATAGGTATAATTTAATAGGTTTTATTAAATGTTCATAGGCCAGCAATTATATATATATATATAGATATGTAACAAAATATTTAATTAAGGCTTTATATATATGTATGGTTAACACAACCAATCAATGTTGTGTTTTATAAACAAATAATACCACTAATTAAAATCTTATCACGAGTCATACCCACAAACCGGTTTGATGGCCGTGTCATGCAGTTAATGTAAATAAAAGCAATAGGTTCCTGCATTGTGCAACAAGCCATAATTCACATTAATTATAAGGCGCAATTTCCAACGGCCATGAACTTCACTTCATTTTATGTCCCTTAGATAATTAATGTGCAGTCACATATACCCATAATTACTTCGTTTAAAACCCTATTTATTCAATTACACTAATATTCGATCTTGTGCACACAACAAATATTTAAATTATTATAAGTTCAGTATGTATATAATATTAAAATTATACTATATAGTATCACATTTTAAAAAACTGATCATTAATAAAAATTATTATAAAAGTATTCAACTTCATCAATACTCATAAAATGAAATAGATAATGTAATTTTTATATATTTGAGGGATTATAACCTATTAATTATGTTAAAAGTATTACTATTATTTATTATTATTATTATTATTGTTATTATTATTTATGAAATTTTAAGAGATTTGGTTATACCACTAAAGCTAAATTAGCGTAATATTAAAAAATACTTAAGAACAATAAAAAGTTTAACAAAATATTTTGTAATATAATTTTTTATACTCATTGAATTTTCATATATCATTTAGAATGGATTATAATTGGTTATTTTTAGTGATAAGCTTGATGTGATTGTAAAATTAGTGAGTGATTAAAACTGATTTTTCATACATTAATTTCATTGATGACTGGTGGTTTTGGATGTTTGCAGGCTTTACATTTCAAAGCAATTTTCACAAAATTTAATGGCAAGTGTTAATTGAGTA